CACTGGAATGCAAAGAACAAGGAAATATTCAGCAAGAGATATACACGGGCAGATACATGCCCGTATATATGAACGTGTACATCACTGGTGTTGTCAAGGAATGCATCATTTGAGCCAGAGATATACACGATCAAGGTACATGACCATGTATATAAGCGTGTACTTCCTATAAAGATTGTGAAGGCCAAGTATCACAGACTAGAGATGTACACGGCCAGATACACGGCCGTGTACATGAGCGTGTACTTGTCAGGAAAGGATTGAAGGACACCTATTAAAAAAGCAGAGATGTACACGGCCAAAGTAAATGGTCGTGTACTTGGGCATGTACTTTTACGCGCGTCAGAAATTTAACTTTTGCGGAAAAAAAAATTAACCCTAGGACAATTCCTATAAAAGGAGGACTGGACTTAAACCTACGGGAGGCTTTTTCTTTGAAGACGAAAGACTCAGAGACGGTAGGAGGATGGGATCAAGCATTTTAATTCATCTCTTTTGTAATTTTAGTTTCAAGATGTTTAGGGCTAATTTTCCTTTAAGTATCTAGATGTAATGAATCCTAATTGACAAAATTTTCTGGAATTCTTCTAATGCTATTTCATGTTCTTTTCTCTTGGGTTTAATTGAGTAGTATCAATTTTCTTCCATCTTGTTTTCTTGTTTGAATTTGAGTAAAATTCCTACATGAAATTAACATTGCTCAATTAAAAAGACTTGAATGTATTTCTAGAGATAGAAAGACGTAAGTTTTCTGTATTAGGATTAACCCTAATTATGGAATTCATAATGAACTTAATGCAACCTAGAGGTATTAATTAAGGAAGAGATTCTGATTAATCAACCGAGGGTTAGGAATCATTATCCTTGAGAAAGGTATTGATTTAATTCAGAATTTCCTGCAGCGATAAGGGTTTGAAACTAAGTAGTTGAAGAAGAATTTCAGTTATTTGAACACTTAGGAGGATTTACAGTCTAGATACTTACCTATTTCCCTTGAATACCTTTAGTCATACTTTTCTATAATTTATTATTATAAGAAATCTGTTCCTTTCAATTTATTATTCTTTTATTTTTAGCAATTTTATCAACAAAAATTATTTTTTTTATTCATTAACAATTGCGCAATTAAGGAAGTAATTCTTAATAACAGTCTCTGTGAATATGACACTTGGTACTCTATTTTTCATAATATTACTCTGACAACGGGTACACTTGCCCAGTAATTCAATTTTTAAACATCAAGTTTAGTCATAATTTCACATCTATACTTATTACATCATACCAGTCCAACATATCAAATTATCAGGCAATATCACATCATATCACCAATGCAATACATCAATCATATCATAGATACTACCACACAAGCTCACATCATATAATCAGTATAATCTGCCAAAGGTCGGACACCTTCAGACTCAGCTTAATTCGCACTATACCAATATATGTAGTCTTCTAACTTAAAGTTCGTCATCGTATATCTTTTAATACTTAATTCATATACACCCTTAGAAACTTAGTTTTGAAAACTCTTAAAGCTGTCCTAGCTCATATATTTCTTTTTAAAATATGATATTATCAGTTCAAATAAACCCAAATATTTCTTTATGTTAAAATATCCATTTATCATGTAATATTATCAAGATCTACTGATCTTTTCTAAGTGATATGCCCATGTTTCTCATAGAACCACTAGATATATATATACATATAACTACAGCTAGAAAATACTCCCCTTACTTGATAACGATTCCTCCAAACTAGTTCTCTGAGTAATCTACGAAGAGATTCCACACTATCCATGGAGAGATCTTCCAAAAGATAAGATTTTCTAAGTATTTCGAGGTAGAGATCTTAAGATGAGAAGAGAACCGAAGAAAAGGAATGAAATAAATATATGAGCTCTGAGAAACTTACTTAGATCCAAGAAGAACGGATGTTTGAGCTCAAATCTGAAGAAGATCTAGAGTTATTGGAGGTTTTCTCTAAGAAAGGAAAGGGAGAGAACGAAGAGAATGGAGAGAGATATGTGATTTGGTTAAAAATGAAGATTTTAGGGCGAGAGTTCCTTAAATATCTCTCAAACTCGCAACTTTCTTGTTACAGCGAAAAAATCAAAAGTTTTCTTCCTTTACTGTCTGTCATTCTAGCTACAGCGAGAGCTCCTTGCTACAACGAGAGATTCTAGCTACAGCAAGAGGGCTCCAGAATGTTCCATTTTCACCGCCTCATTCTCGCTACAGCGAAATTTTCCATAGTTCACATCAATTAAACACTTCTAATTTCAAATAACTAACATTAATTGAAAAAATAATAAATTACAAAATAAGGATGTTACAATACTCATCCAGAAGGTGCCACTTGTCATCATCCAAGCCGTTCCTCCACATAGCTCTTGTTTGGCAGATATACCACCACGTGTCAGTGTATAAAGTTGTATCGGACATTCTGGAATGATAGACTATTTAAAAATTATTAAAAAATTAGTATTGGCCATGCAAGTAAGAGACAGATGCTGATCTGGCGAAAAATTAGGCTAGACAAAGAATATGTTTTAAAATAACTCTATTTCCAGAATTTGTTTTATAAATAGTATTATTTAAATAAATTTGACCAAATAATATTATGTAAAATATGATTTATTTATTTTTTTAAATACAGGTACCTTTGAATATATTAAATAAATTATAATTACTTTTTGTGTTATTTATATTTTTTTTATTTCTTTAAATATAGTTATAATTTATATTGGTGTGTCATATTATTTTTATTTTCTTGAAAAAATTATTAAAAGAGTATAATTGGAATCCTATTTAAATAAGAATGCTGTATTCAAATTGAGATATAATTTATTTATTATCCACCAAAAAAAGCATATTAAAAAAATGAAAGATAATACAATCAAACTTTAATACCAAGGCACTTATACAATACATTGATTGAGTTTCTAGTATAGGTACAATGCGAGTATTACTAATTATGAGGTAATTCATATATAAGGTCTATGAGAGTCAGATAAAAAAACTATTAAAAAACTTAATGATTTTTTACTGAATACTTTTAAAAGTAAAACTTATGAACATTTCAATCTATGACATCTTACAAAAAATAATTGTTTTCATAAATTAGAATCGACAAGTTGTTTAGACTAAATGCCATCGTTTTGCATTATATATATATATATATAAGCGTACAAATTTGACGATATTAGTAGTTATTTTAATGCAAAATAATAATGTGTTAGTGCATAGTTGGTTCAACCTAAATAGTTTTAATAAACTAATGATGTTTACACCAGAATTTCTATATGAATATTATAAATAACTTACCCTTACAGCGAAAGCCATTAAAAGTTATCGTGGTGAATGGTAGCTGCAACAGCCTTCAGTGTTAGGTTGAACTGGGTTGGAGGGTTTGGTTGCACGCTCTACTTGAGCTCACCTACTTTCCTAGATATTCACCATGCATTAATAATCAATTAATGATTTTATTATTTTAATAACTATAAATCCAAACACCATATAATATTATATATTTTTTATTTATTTTTTATTTATTCTGATACTTTTCGTACATATATTTAAAAATACACTAAAAAATAAAAAAGGATAATTAAAAATTATCCCTTAAAATCATTAAAAAAAAGCATTTTTATTTTCACATAGGTAACACAAGTACGTGTTGAGTTCATATGTCTGCTGGCCAGGGCTTGAACAATTATTTCTAACTCTATTAAATTTTTAACGAAAATAGAAAATCAATTGCCAGGATTCGTGTACTTGCGCACCTAACTTTTTTTTTTACTAAGAAAGCTTAATTACCTTGTATCTTTTCAATAACTTACCACTCTTTTGATAAATGATAGTTTTTCATAGATAATTGTGAATATTTTATTTATTTTATATCGGTTGTTGCTTAATGTTAAACCATGTATTTTAGAAAATAATTAGTTTTTACAGTAAAAATTTTCTAAAATATTCCTATTAAATGTACTGAAATTACAAGAAATAAAGGTTGAGTAATCTTAAAATTGTTTTAGTTGTTAGTTGTTATTGAAAGACAGAGCTGAATATTTTGTTCATATTTTAAAGCAATAAATAATAAGAATAATATTAATTTCATAATAATTTTAATAATATTTTTTATTTGTCTCTTTGAGGTATATATTATTGTGATATATATATATATAGTAATTTTAAGTATTTTTTATATTTTTTCTTACATTTTATTTATTTTAATTTGAAAATTTTATTTTTTTAATTCTTTTTAATGATGTGACTAATTAAGATATTGTTATGTAATACATCTTAATTTTTTATTGGATTACATCGATAAAAAATAAAAAAAAAATTATGAATTTTAACAAAAAAAAAAGAACCAAATTAATTTGTTTTAGGAACTAAAACTAAATTTTTATATATTACTGAAACAAGATGCCCAATTTAGAAGTTGAAACACAGTAATTTTATTTTTAAAAGGAAAAAAAAATACCGAATCCACCAAGATCTGACACTTCAAAAGAAAATAATATATTTTGTTCAAACACCAGACGAAACTTAAAGACATTTTTCTTGGTGAAAACTGGAAACCGGTAATTAGTTTCACACCAAATGAAAAAATAAGATTTCATGGCACAACATAGGTTTAACACTAAGATCTTTAATTTCAAGTGGCCATTAAAATTTAGAATAAAACACTTAAATTGGACTAGTTCAAGAAATGGTGTTAGAGTAACAATCTTTTAATTAATAGCTATTCTACTTTGTTAGCTAACAAGCATTCAGCAACATATTTGAAAATATATGTGTGGAAAATATTGCACCGAGGAGGATAAGCTCCTTTGTCATATTAATATTCTATACCACGTGACGTGCCAGATGAACTCTCCCAAACACCACATCACACACTCATGTTAAATATATAGATCCCACCCTTCACTTAAACCATCACTTCACACACTCCATAGCTAGTACTAGCTAGCAAATTAACCAACTTTCACCATGGACACTTTGTTCTTCCTCAAGGAAATTGCTATGTCCATTTTGATCTTCTTGATCACCCATCTCTCCATTCGTTCACTCCTCAAAAACCATCACAAGAAACTTCCACCAGGGCCAAGAGGTTGGCCAGTTGTGGGTGCTCTGCCTCTAATGGGAAGCATGCCTCATGTCACACTCTCAAAAATGGCCAAAAAATATGGACCCGTAATGTACCTCAAAATGGGCACTAACAATATGGTTGTAGCCTCTACTCCTGCTGCTGCTCGTGCATTCCTCAAAACCCTTGACCAAAACTTCTCCAATCGACCCCGAAATGCTGGTTCAACTCATTTAGCTTATGATTCACAGGTAGAAAGTCATTGAAAAGAGTGAGTTTAAACAATACTTGCTTATGGAGGAAATGAATCTCTTTCTTTTATATATATATATATATATGTGTGTGTGTGCTGTAATTATTCATATATGTCTAGCTTTTCACTTTTAGCTCTTCCTTTGCATGCTTTATGGAATCGTCTTTGTTCACAGGACATGGTGTTTGCTCATTACGGATCAAGGTGGAAGTTGCTTAGGAAACTAAGCAACTTGCACATGCTTGGAGGAAAGGCTCTTGATGATTGGGCACAAGTTCGAGAGGAAGAGATGGGGTACATGCTTCGTGCAATGTATGATTGTAGCAAGAAGGGTGAGGCTGTGGTGGTGGCTGAAATGTTGACATATGCTATGGCTAATATGATTGGTCAAGTGATATTGAGTCGTCGTGTGTTTGAGACAAAGGGTTTGGAGTCAAATGAATTCAAGGACATGGTTGTTGAACTCATGACCGTTGCTGGGTACTTCAATATTGGTGATTTTATACCCTTTTTGGCATGGTTGGATTTGCAAGGCATAGAACGTGGCATGAAAACGTTGCACAAGAAGTTTGATGTGTTGATAACAAAGATGATTGAGGATCATGTGGCTTCGAGTCATAAAAGAAAGGCTAAACCTGATTTCTTAGATGCTGTCATGGCTCATCATAGCGAAATTTCTGATGGGGAGAAACTATCGCTCACCAACATCAAGGCACTACTATTGGTATAACACTTTTTCTTGTAAACTCTAATCATTTGAAGATATCTACCATAGAAGATTTAATTATGGCAAATTAAGGCAATTAAGCAGATATATATATATATATATATATATATATATATATATATATATACATACATACATTCTAAAAGTAAGTTTTCGGAAACATTAATTAGTTATCTTTGTCATAATACTTTATTTACTTCTGTTAGTATTTGTATATTAAAAACTTTACCTCTACATATTTTTTTTTAGTAATTAAGTTGAGGAAAAATAAAATTTTGATATTTTTAGAAGATTTTTTAAATAATTTTCCCTCAAAATATTATAAATACAGTACGCACCATATCTTTATGAAAAAACTGAATGAAAAAAGTACAATGAATAAATTATTAAAATAAAATAAAATAAAACAATGTATAAAAAGATAATAGTTCTATCGTTACTTTTCTACAAAATTTGGGATTGATATGACGTAAACTAAGTTCATTCAAATTATGTTTATTTTTCATACTCTATTTAGGTTATGTTTGGGTAACAATAAGTATTTATTATAAAAACTCATATTAAATAAATAGTTTATATTAAAAACTTGAGAAAAAATTATTGACATAAAATAAAAATGTGATCTTTTAATAAATTATCAAAATAAATTAAAAAGTCTTATAAAAAATATAATTTTTTTTATAAGCTCTTCTTAATGCATCCTTATACTTAAACTATATATATATATATATATACACACACACAATAAATTAGACATGGAAAATTGAAATTAATTGAATTGCACAATTAATGAGGGTGTCTTATATATCCGAAATGGAAATAATTTTTGTACATTTGGAAAAAAAAATTATTTTAGAGTATATTTTGGATATATATATATATATAATAAAAATAATTATATCCAAAATTATATATAATATTAATATTTTGTAATTCAAATAACGAACTTGTATTCTAATTTGCTTGAGCTACAAGTTCAATATGTCTAAACTAAATTAACCAAGGGTATCATAAATTTAGCAATATTAAGTTATTGACAGAAACTGGGAGTGTGTGGTCTACGACAAAGTACAAATTTAACACTCCGACAAGTGGAGAAGTAAATGAATCCAGGTCCCACTTCGAAATATTAAACTTGGAAGCATTTGGATTTGGGACCACGAAAGCGTGGGAAAAGATGTTTTCGTGAATACATTAGGATCCCATTAAATTTTATATTTACCCCTTTTTAAATATATATTTTTTGTTTTAGTTATTTAACATTGAAAAATATTATTTATATAATAAAAAAAATATATATATATTTATATATTATTTATCTCTTTCCATTTTTTATCTTCTGATTTTTTTTCTTGTTCCATAAATTATTATATATATTTTTTAGATAAAATTATAATGTTTGAAATTTAGGTAAAAAGTCATCCAAACATTCTCTAACTTTCAAGGTTTCAAAGCTATTTGGTGGGATCTTTCCCTTTTCTTGAGAACATGGTGTTTTTGAGTCATGTTAAATTTGATATGAAAATGTTTATTCTGTAATATTTTAAAATGTAAAGTAGCACTAGCTACCGTTCAAAATAACACTTTTATCTATACGAAATTTTAAAACAAGAGTTTAAAAAAAAATAAAAGTAATTAATTTTCAAGATTAATTCCTTTCAAATATTGTACCGTGAAACGAATTCACTTACTAGCGGCTAATCATTTGGTTTACTTCTACTAACGTAGACTTTATTTTAAAAAAATTATAGAATTTGAGATACGAATCTCCATTAGTACAACTACAACGACGGTTAGTTAAAAGTTTTTATTAAATAAATTATTTTTATAAATTTTTGTGAAAAAATAAAATTATTAAGCATTTATCACACTATTTTATTTTAATAGATGATATATTTTTAAAATATAAATATATATTAAATTTTAAATAACATACATATAAATATCTAAATTACATAAAATTTAACATATATAATTAAAATAATAATATAATATGATTTAACAGTTATATTCTTCAATTTTATATTTTGTAAAATATTATTAAATTATATAAATGTTTAAATTTGAAATCTTCCAAGTTTTTCTTATCATTATGAAAACGAAGGTATCGATAACCTTAATTTAATTTGAAGCATATCGTTATTAATCTTAACACATTAAAATTTAATAATGATAAGTATTCATGCTGTTTACAAATAAGTTTAGCTTATAAAACCTTATCATATGACCTTAAATTTGTTTGTAAAAGAAATTTTTGTTCTAACCATGTTAGGATGTGAAGATAATAATTAATATGCATAATATAATGTTGTTTTTCAAGTTTCTAGTTTGAGATTTTGCTCTAACAACTATATGCTATCTTTGTTTTAGAATCTGTTCACCGCAGGCACGGATACATCTTCAAGTATCATAGAGTGGGCACTAGCTGAGATGTTGAAAAACCCCAACATCATGAAGAGGGTTCATGAGGAAATGGACCAAGTCATAGGCAAGGGTCGACGCCTCCAAGAATCTGACATACCAAACCTTCCTTACTTGCAAGCAGTTTGCAAAGAGACGTATAGAAAGCACCCATCAACCCCATTGAACTTGCCTAGAGTCTCAGCTGAACCATGCCAAGTGAATGGCTACTACATCCCCAAGAACACTAGGCTTAGTGTGAACATATGGGCCATAGGGAGAGACCCTAATGTGTGGGAGAACCCTTTGGAGTTTAATCCAGAGAGGTTTTTGAGTGGGAAAAATGCAAAAGTTGATCCACGTGGCAATGATTTTGAGTTGATTCCATTTGGTGCTGGGAGAAGGATTTGTGCTGGGACAAGGATGGGTATTGTGTTGGTTCAATACATTTTGGGCACTTTGGTACATTCATTTCATTGGAAGCTACCAAATGGTGTTGTGGATTTGAACATGGAAGAGTCCTTTGGGCTTGCCTTGCAGAAAAAGGTTGCACTTTCAGCAATGGTTACCCCTAGGTTGCCCCCGAGTGCTTACATTCCTTAGATTTGGGTATTTGTTCAAGCCTTGTCTAGTTTTCTAGATGTTTATGGTTATAGCCTATTGCTAAATAAGTGTTTTGAGTTGCATAAATATTGTATTTTAATTCTCTGAGGATCTTTCAACGTTAAAATAGTATTCGGAATTGTGCAATATTTTAAATAATATAAAAGTTCTTTTTGCAATTATTTGTATGAAATTTTTATAAAGATTAAGCAAAAATAGATAGTATAAGCAGGTATAAAATTTGCGGACATGCTAACAGCGAGAGTTTAATAAATTATCATTGTCATGAACGGGGTGGCAACGAAAAATGAGAAAATTACTGGAAATATAAGTTAAAAGTAAGCAGATATTATTTCAGGTTTAAATATTTTGAAGGCTTGTGTGGTATTTTACCAAGTTTTTTTTTTTTTTATCATATGTAGAACACCTGAAACCAAAAAAATCCTAACCCTGATTTTTCTACAAACAAATCAAAATTTCAACCTTGAAACTGCATGCAATTAATACCACATAATTAACTAATAACACTCATAGGTCACATACACAACTTTGCAACCTTACCCAAATACCCATATTAGAAAACAAACATCACAAAACTATCATTTGAAGTCATATTCACTGAGATTGAGAGTTCCTCAGATTGGGGCGAGAAAATGAAAGTAAATGTAAGAAAATCAGATAAGGTAAAGTGGAAATTTTGGACACTTACCACATAAACCCTAGTGTGAATAAAAAAGAAACAAGATATTGATGAGCCCATTTAATTTTGTATATTTTTTCGTGTTACACGGAAAAAGGGGAAAAGGAAAGAAGAGTAGTATGCAAGATTGTGTTTGTATTTTGTATTTCACAAAACAATGTCTTTTGAGTTTGAATTTTAAGTCCACACTCTAGAGAAAGAGAGGAAAGGAAAGGAGTAGTACCTGAGATTAATGACATTTAGGTATGAATTTGTTGATGAGTTGTTTCCTAGGGTGGATGGAAAACCACACAAACTGTCTCAATTGATGTTGAAGAAAGGGAAAAGAGAGAAGGAATTAAGGGAAAATAATATTTTTTTAGAATTTTTTTTGTAAACATTAATTTTTGTATAATAAAATATGAAAAATAATATTGACATAACAATGATGAGTTGAATTTTTATTATTCAACTCATCACTTAATATATTATAGTTGATGACATGAACTAAATCTTAATATTTTTTAAATATCAACAACTAAATTGTAACAAAATATTTTTAAGGGCTTAATCTAAAAAGTGCTACTTTTATAGCGACCAAAAACATAATTAAACCTAAATAAAATGATGAAAAAGTATGATGTAAATGTACTTATCTTATATTCATTTTTATGATAACAAGTATCACACTTTTGTTATTCTAAATAAATACTTTTAGACTCTTTTAATGCATACCTTTTTTTCTTTGTCATGCATGCTTTTTTTTTTTTTTTTTTGTCTCCACCGGTGTCACTATTGCACCTTAAAACATCATCAAGTTAGTAGTTCATCATCAGGTTGGTATATATCTGTAAGTGAAATAGGAATCGCTCTTGATTGTTTGAAGTGATGGTTGACACCTTAGAATATAAAGAGGAAATGAAGAGTGAGAATTCATTGCAAGACTATGACTTTGGTGACTTTTGAAATGGATGTGCTCTTGTAGGAAAATTTTCCATTTTCTTGTATTCTTTTTCTTTTTTCAGTTGTAAAGATGCGACCTCTCTATTAGAAGAAAGGAACAAGACATGATGGAAGTGTGCCTAAAAGGATGTTCATATTGTTTCATGAAGTGTTATGTTTCTTTTTACTCAATGTATGAGTTTTTCCTTTTGCATCTTTTCAAAGGACTTGCTTCTTTTGTTGCTCTCCACATGCATTGGATCATTCTCCTAGAAAATGTATCTCATTAATAAGTGTATATATGAGATCAAGTAAAATACCAGATTAAAAGGTCAAAGGCTTTATATTTAGCTTTTTTTTGTTAGTTTATGATGTTTTCGCACTTTCCTCCCTTTTTATTTAGTTCAACCCGTGTGGAACTAAGTTATCAAATAGACCTGCATCCACTAAGGACGTTTCAAATACATCAAGGGGCACTTTTGTTGCCATGATTACTGTCTCTTTTTTCTTGAACTTTTTGACTTGACGCATTGATGTAATGTGGTATGGTAGATATGCAAGGATACATGTGATCCAAGGTCATCCTAACAAGATGTGATATAGGTCTCACTTTAAGTTGAACAATTATGCTTTTTTTAGTGGCCCTGCCCTCTCCATTGAAGGTAGTAAGTTAGACATCTGTCCATAAGACTTGCTCTCTTTATAGCTCAAGAGCTTTGAAATTACACAAGGACATTATGTTTACTTTAGACCCAATATCCTATAAAGTGTGCCTTACTTTTATCCCTTCCACCATTGCTCATATGTATAGTGAGAAATTATGAACAAATTATGTGCATGTATTATCAAACTTTCAAAAGGTGAGTAGTTGATATCTTGTTCAATAAGGTGTTAAGGCTATCTCTTGGGCGAGTGGCAATTTCGTACCTTTGATTCTTGATTATGATTATTGTTTCTTTATAATTATGCAAGAGTTGTTGAAATTTATCATGTGTCACTATTGCATACAACAAATGCTTTTGTACTCTCTAAGTTCTTTTAAAGTGAAAAATAACATTTGGAAACTTTAATGGGTAAGTTTGTTTTGTTACAAGCTCATAGAATATTAAAAATACTTATTTTTCATTAATCTCATCAGCAACAACCTCAATATTATTTAGAATGAGCATAATTATTATCAGCCATGACTTGCCACATTTGTTTTTAAATTTAGTCCTTTTTTGTGACTATTTTTTATTGAATGTATAGCATCTTTTTATCAATATGCATAGTCGTTAAAAATTGGTGTTCCTATATATCCTTCTACAAGTTATCTGTTTGAATAAATGTTTCCAACAATATTAATGTCAAAAATTTATATGATGAAAAAGATTGTTAATGAAACAATGAAAGGTTTTTCCTATTTAAATTGTATTTATGAATTTGCAATATATATTATAAAATAGAGTCATATAAAGGTACTATATTCCTCGAAGTAAGTTCAATTTATTCTCTCTATTGCATGTATAAAAATGTATATGCGAATCATATGAATAATGTGTCATGAGAGAATTCCTATCTTTGTGACTTACTGACTTTGTGTAAATAAGCTCATCCAAGAAAACTACAAAGATATTAGAAATAATTAATGATAAATTGTATCTTAGTAAATAAATTTACATTGAAATCAATAAAAGAAATAATATGCATATCTAAATTTCATTTATGTACAAAGTTTAATATTTACACATTGTATTCAAAATATACATTAGGACTTAGCTTACATAATTATAATTTCAAAAATAGATTAAGTCCAAAGAATAGTCAATATCCATACCAAAATATGAAAATATGATGCTAGTTGTCGTCCTCAAACCAACTCTCTATCTCCACCAGCTCCTCCAAAATCAGATCCTCATAATCTCTAGTATCAGCCACGACCTTGGTGCCTATTACTTGCTTAAAGATGAACTGAGTTGGTCTTCTATACTGGTCATGATCTAGAAAAAGGTATACCTAATTTGTAGCTAATAGGATCCTAACTGTCTCTCTATATATAAAAGTACTAATGGTGTTACAAATTCTATTATTTAAAGGATAATCAAAAGGAACACTGCAGTCTAATATCATTTCTAGGATAGAAACATTACCTGGTTCAATCTATAACATAACCACTGATATTCTCTAAATACATAAATTAATCTACAAATTACAAATACATTATTACACATAAAGCATATAACAAGTACATTAGCAATATATACAACTGCTTATATACTCAAACACAAATCTCATATAATTCTCTCCCTTAAATACACACTTTCCGTGCACTGTAATCATAGATATTCGATGCCTCCAATACTTCATGAGATCTTACACAGATAGGTAAATAGTCACCAATTAGCCCATACGTACACACGGATACAACATATATAAATAATGGGCCCTTCAGCAAAGGTATAGTCAATAAATGAGGTATAGTCAAGAAATGAATGTGAGGTCATGTGATGCATTCGCTCTCATATAGAGTATATATACATACACGAATGTTGTTCACCATTACTCATCATATACTCCTTTTCATATTAATCTCATTACTTAGCTTAATAAGATTGTGCTTAATAAAAACACTTCTAAACTATGTCCATATTACACATCATGAAAATACAACACAACCAGCCAAACATATATCATCAACTTTTCACAATAATATAATATCATTCAAACATACCTTTACAAGCAAGACAAAGAAAACATAACAATACTCTTATGAGCTCAAAATATTAACTGTGTCTTACTGATGGGATATAACTTTCCTTACCTTGAGATGAAGTTTTGAAAAGAGATTTGTGAATGATTTGGTTCAAATAACTGAGTTTCTCTTAAATATAATAAGAGAAAGAACTTTAGAGGAAATAGAAAATATAGAAAAAAAATAAAGATTGGATAATTAAGTTTTGAGAAACTTACTTGGAGTAGATCGGAACAAACATCAAAGTCTAGATTTAAAGAAAGCTTAGGGTTTAAGGGAGATTTTTTATTTTTTTTGAAGAAAGCGAGTAAGAAATTAGAGAGAAGAGTGAGAGAATAGTAACTTGAATTGTGATATAAGTTTTCTAAGTTAAAAAATTTTAAATATCCTTTAACTCGCGACTCTTTCACTACAGCAAAATATTTCTTGCTATAGCAAAAAAAATTAGATAATGATTTTTCTCTATTTTCTAACATTCTAGTTATAACGAGAATCCTCGTTATAGCAACAGGGTTGTAAGGTCATCCTTATTCACTTCTTACTACAATGAGAGCAGCTCAAAAAGTCTAGTTCTAGATTATTTGTCTCGTTGTAACGAGACACTCTGCAACTTTTATAATTAAAACTCTTCTAATTTCAAACAACATG